GAGGGGCGTCTGAACCTACACACGGGCCCGACCGCCCAGACGCACCGCGAACCGACTTTAAAAACATCAAACGTTATATTTTTAAAAAATAATCATTTACTGAATGCTAATTTCTTTAAAATGAAGGCAGAAAACATTCAAAAACATTACATAAAAAGAACAGTCTCACATATTAACTAACAGCGTGCTACTGGCAAATTTCAAGTAATAAACCTAATTCTGTACAGGAAATCCTTAAGGACAATCTTTAAATAAACAGTAGTCTGCCTGGAAATACTGATCCCTCCAAGTCACACAGCTCCATCATTTAAGTGAGAAGAAACATGACTTTAAATAGTAGACAGGTAAGTGTCTGAATGCTTTATTTCCAAACTATAACTTAACTCTCAAAATTCACATTTTAGAACAAAGAGAACAGTAGTCAAGATGTTTGTACAAGACGAAAACACCAGTAATAACGCCTTAACACACACAAAAAAAGAGAAAGGCTGCTCTGCAGCAGCGAGGCTGGTGCCCGAGCAATGGCTTTCCCTGTGACAGCCATGCAGCTCAGTGACCTGACTCTCCCGCTTCCTACTCCCAGTGTTTATTCACAGCTCTTACCAGCTTGTCTTCTGTGAACCATTTTGTGAAGTTACCCAGTGTTCAATTGCACTTGTACTTTCAGAGTAAAATAAATATCAGCCTCTTAACATATTTATAAAACTGCTTTCAAACTCATGCTGTGTTTTCTTCTGTGCACCATTTCAAAATACTTACGTGTCTCTTCTGCTTTGGTTTTAAGAGAAATGAGTTGGAAACATGTAACTAAAAACATGTAAAACCACACCTTTCCCCTCTCTCCCAATTTTGAAAGCGTAATTTGTAAAAACAATACAAAGTTCTTAAACAGAGTTTCAGTTCTGATCACATTTTACCCAAAACCCCTGAAAAAAATAGGGACTTAAACCCCAACAACCCTGAAATTGTAGCAGCAATTAAGTGTCCTACTGAACAATTTTTGGACAGGTCTAACACAGTATAAATTAGCTGAATTTTCAGTCTTGGAAACTTTAAGGCACACTAGCATAATCAAGGCTAAAACTGTAAGCATCCAGTACATAGACTGCAGTGCCAGGGTGCCACTCAGCTGCTCAGAGTTCAGGTACTGCAGATGCTCCTACTCTTATCTAGTGGTGCTGGGAGTTTCAGGAAGTCAAGTTCTTTTGTCTTTTCGTGGTTTTCAAAGATGACTCTGAGCTTCTGTTATCTTTCTGATTAGGAACATCTTGTCACGACTCTCCTGTAAAGACAGAATAAAAAAAATGCTCTAGATAAACAGAAGTCATACAAGCGATCTGTGAACAGCTCATTTCTTTATTAGACATAAATAAGTGCACTCACCACATTATACTCTAATTAGTGGCTCCCAGCACAATCTCAACTGCCTGAACAATTTTAAGTTCAGTCTTGACTTTTTAGTTTAGTCTTGACTTCGTTTACCTCATGTTAGGTCACATATTAACAGTACTGCATTGAGCCTAGTAAAAACATCTCACATACCTAAAAACTTAAAACCATACTTCCAAGAAGCCTAACAACAGTGAACAAACAAAAATAAAAAGCATGCAAGGATTTTTATAGTTCCTAACTGGTTTGGGAACTCTTGAAAAAGTAGTAAGGCTTTTGTTCCTAAATTCCCTTCTCTCCCCAGTACAGTGTTTTTACAAGGACAGGTTGTTAAATGCCATATCTAAAAGAAGCACATACCAAGAAATGGGCTAGTTCCTAAGAAAGTGGGCAGCCCAGCCCTAATCCACGACAAAGTCTCACTAGTGAAGTTAGGTTTCAACTGGCACAGTCTGACAGATCACAGTACATGAATGCTGCCAAATGTGGCAGCAGCTTTGATGGCCACAAAGAAGCGTGTCTGTGCTGGCAAGTTCTCCAAAGGACAAGTAAGCGCTGACTCGCTCCACTTTGACAGCCTGTTGCAAGTGGTGCTAGGACCTGCACTCAGGAATAAGACCAGACATGATGCAGTAAAAACACAGGTCTGGGGGGAAGGTTAGAGAGCTGGGTGCCTGTTCCTAAGACTGGAGAAGGAAATAGAGGGGGGAGTTGAGTAAGATGGGGGAAGGGACAGGAAGCACAAGATTCAGGTTCTTGTTCATCGAGGAAAAAAAACCAAACCAAAACATGCAAATGGGTGGATTTAAGCAAGATAACAAAGAACAGGGACACCACTTCTCAGAGGTAGATCTCATGCATGCGTGCTGCCTGATATAACCAGATCTTGCTGCGGTTGCAGCTGATACCAAAGAAAACCAACTAGACTGGGAAGTACTATAGTGCTTCAGTTATTTTTCTTGTGTAATTTGTAAAACATTTTTCACTGCCTGTGCCAACACCAACTATCCAGAAGACTATGAAAACTGTTATTCCTCTGCATGCCTGACACAACAAAGAAAACTTTAGGGGTACAGAAACATGGATCAAGTCTTACCATAACCAGTTGTTCCCTCAGCTGCTCAACTACTCGTTTGTGTGCTCCAGCCAAGGCAATAAAATAGAACATAACAAGGCTGCAAACAAAAAACCACATTGCATGTTAGCATTGCACAGAACAGAATTAGTCCAAAGAAAGCTGTTATTGGCTACAGGAATTGTCAGTTTGTGCATTTGCTTCAGATGAGAAGCTGCTGAAGAAAAAAAAAAACTAAAAAAATACAGCTGGGGTAGGTTGGGCACAGCTCTGCTGAAAAGCACCTGCTGAAATACCTGTGCTGCCAGCAGGCAGGGACAGAATGCTAGGGGATGTAGAGGCATGGCCACTTTCAGATGTTGCAGGTCATGTACTGACAGCTCTCTCTACACTGCCCTGCTCCAAGTGTATGGATAGGGGAGCTGCTCCTCAGAAATTAAGTTTAATGAGGTTTCACTGGAGTAACTCTTTGCTCACACTGGCGTTTCTAACTATGGTAAGCAGCCACAGATCAGTATTGTAGCCATTCCTTATAGCACACATCCCAGATTATCCACAGTGCTTTAAATGATGAAGCAGCAGCAAGAACTATAATGGCACAAATGCCTATATAAATAATGTATTTTCTTTTCCAAATAAGAAGTAGTAGGATAGCAGTGCAAGTCATCCCCCACCTCTTACATAGGCTTTATGATAAAGTAAAAAAAGAAAAAAAACCAAACAAACCAAGAAAGACGACCTGGTATTTCCTGTGTACACAATAACAGGTTCAGTTCAGGAGAACACAAACATGTTATGGAAGAAAGGGCTGAGTGGAACATGTTATGGAAGAAAGGGCTGAGTGGAGTCTGAAATGAACCATGTTGTTTCTCAAACATAGAAGCTGTATCAGGTAAAAAGGCTCCGAGACCTGAAAACAGTCAGGTTAAACTGAAATGCAAAAAAATGAAAAAAAAAAATCTATTAAAATGTAAGGAAAAAACCCCCTTTTTACTGCAAGAGTGACCAAACACTGGAACAGGTTTCCCAGAGAGGGTGTGGAGTCTCCATCTTTAGAGATATTCAAAACCCAACTGGACATGGCTCCTGAGTGCCTGCTCTACTTGACCCTGTTTTAATTAAGAGGGTTGGATTAGATGATCACTACAGGTGACCTCCAACCTTAATAATCCCATGCTTCTATGTTGAATTTTATCTTACAGAATGACTGTTCTGGGGAATTTTGTTTGTTGTGCTGGTATTTGTTTTTTTTTAAACCAAGGTTTGTGAATAGGATTTGTGATCACAGGGCTTACAACACTAATTTGCAGAATGATTCACAGTTAAGAGTTGTGGGATATGGGACGTGCAAGAGGAAATGGAATAAAGCTAATGAGTGTGAACACATGGGCATAGACATAAGAGCTGAGGATTCATACAAGCTTTGATGCTTTTGGCTGAAGATGGAAAATCTGGTCTAATAGTTGTTGGTATCAGTTCAGTAAGGAAGGAAATGAACCATGCAGCTGCATTACTGAATCACATCTCCACAATACTCACCAAATGACCATAAAAAAAGGCACTGCAAAGGCTTCTGATGCTATGGCATGGAAGATCTTCTGCAGAATTGTTGGAAACTCAAGTACTGTTTCGGGAACAACTGCCCATGAAGTGTTAAAATTCCTGAATGGCCCACATGCCTTGGAGGAGGGGATACTGTGAAAGAAGCAGAACAGAAAGGAGATGCAACACCGAAATGTAAAAGTAAAATAATCCAACACAAGTCCAGCACCACTTTGCTGATAGGGCAAAAGTGCACTTTGTCTTTAAAACTGTTATTTTTGTTTATATGAACTAAGTTATAATTTACTTCGTACTATATATTTTATTCCAATTTATCATTCCAAAGTTGTGTCTCTGTTTTTAGGGAACTGACAACCTTAGAACAAATGTCAAGTCTGTAGAAGTTAAACTGTCACTTACTGTGCTATGCTGATTCCCAAAGGAATAAAAGCCAAGATGAGCCCAATCAACAGCACTACCAAGAAGAAAAATGTGGAACTTGATGCTCTGATAGGCCTAGCTGCAGGTTTACATGTGTGGATCAAACTGATCTGAAGAGGGAAAGTGAGCAAGACTGTTACCACTACATCTAGATACATACATCCATGCATACTTTCCTCATCAACCAAATTTTCCATTCTCAAATATGCTACCAGCTACACATAACCATCTTCCCTTTGATGTACATGGACTGAAAAGGCCTAAGACAAGAACATTTTATATTCTGTCACTAGAAAATAAGTCAATGTCTCCTACTTTGAGTAAGAATTTGATCCAGAGGGCCTCATACACTTGCACAGAGTAAACCGACATCATCATTTGGTGTATGATCCATGGCACAGCCTTTTTTCTGCCACATCTTCACTGGATACATCCCCTCTTGCAAGAACTAAAATATCAGTAAGAGTTTGTTGCACAGAAAGAACTGTGGGGGTCACAAAACACAGCTTTGGATATGCAAAACTCCTACCTTGAAGATCCAACCCAGCCTGGATTTCCATTTTGCTTTCAAATGTTTAGCAGCTTGACAAAACTTTGTGTAAGCTGCATTGCTAGTAAATAGATTATTACAGAAAAGTGTTATAAACTAGCTTTATTACATCAAAAGATTTTAAAAAAACCCTAACAACCAAACCAAAAAACCATACAAATAATTGAAGAGGTAGTTTTCCCGTACACTGCATCCTTGGGTGTTTGTAGGGCTTTTTGTTTGTTTTAGATCAACTGTATACCTGTATTACAAAAACCACAGATGTGCTCAATTTTGTTCACCACACACCTTCATTACCTTTTTAATGTAAAAAATGATGAAGTATTTTATAGTTGCTATTGCAGGGAGAATTGGTGAAAAGAAGGTACCAATCCAGCAGATCGTCTGACCATAAATGATTTCCAGGACATTGTCAGAAATTCCAAATTCCTGCAATCCACACCACTGAACCAGCTTACAAGAGCAATGAATAACTAACAACCTAAAACCAAAGAATATAATTAGTTCTAAATTGAAGTTACACAGCTTAGCTGAATTCTAACACATTTGCCACACACAGATATTTAGCATTTAAGCATTAGATATAACACAACTGAAGAAATAAAAAAAACATTCAAATATCAAAAACTACACAGCCATCTGAATAGCAAACAGGTACTCAAACCACCAAAAGTAAGTTTCTGTTTTATTTTAAAGCTGGTAATCTGGTTAGAAATACGGGGAATTAATAACAGAAAAAATAAATTGTGTTTCATATGTCATTTGCAAAAGTATTTTGAAAAGACAGATACTTACTTTCTAGGAAAGTCCAGAAACAGCGTCACAGCAAGAATTATAATAAAATCAAATATCAACAGTTTATACATTTCTTTTCCAACTTCAGATTCCCAGCACTATAAAAACAAGTCAGGAAAAAATAAGATTAGGAGTCTAAATAACAAGTAGTGAAAAACAAATCTGTCTATCACTAAAGCAACAAACATCTCAGTTAATACCATAAATTCAAACTGTATTAACTCCCATTTCTAAAATATTTGTTTCAGCGCTTCCATGCCAAGCTTTTTGTTTGTTGGTTTTGCTGGGTTTTGTTTGTTGTTTATTTTATTTTGAGGAAAAACCATTTGTCTTATTGGAGCAAAATGCAGCAACACCACTGTCTCCGAAACAAAGCTACTTCAAACAGTCCTCATGGTAGTCAGAAAGTCCATGCTAAATAATAATCTGCCACTGGACTAATTCTAATCATGGTTTTAGACAAACAAAAGATATATGCAGGAACTGTATGGTTTGCACTGAGCAGTAAGAATCAGCACCAGGTAAAACATGAACAGCAACCCCAGGTCTGATTCTGAATACCTCTAGACAAGCAAGTCTCATGGAAAACAAATTTCTGTTCACAGTTCAGATTATTAAAGACCAAGATAAATCTGCTTACAGGATAGAGTTCGTAATTGTATCCACAGGCCTTACACTTGTCTGTATCACAGTAGGAGATCTGGCTCCACAGTGAGAACAGGAGAACACCAATATTGGCCAACCGTACGAAGACACACCTGGAAGAAAGGCAAAACCCAATTCCAAACCTGCCGAAAAAGAGGCATTCTAACACTTGGCTCCACTTGCACAGGAATCCAAGGAAGGATTGAGACACAAAAGGGTCATACTCCAGAGCCTTAATAGAATGGCCAGCTAGATAATAAACACATTTATTTCCTTAGTAGTAAGTTAAATTGCTTTTCACTTTCCCTGCTTTAGGCTACAGTTCCTTGATTCTTTTCTCAGTATTGTTCCTAGATCAGGCACTTCAGGTGCAGATCTTGACACCGCAATGGGCTGCTATCTCTCAGTTTGCGAGGCCAGGTGACAACCCTGCGTGCAGCGTTTCCCTGTCAGGTGGCTTCAGGCCTTCAGAGGGACTTAGCCAAATCAGAGACACAAAGCACAGGGGGCTTGACAGAGTTCAGATGCCTCGACCCAGATCTTACTACCTTAAGCTGCCAAATGCTAGTTTTTTGTGTTCTCACATCAAAGTATCTTTGATCCCCAAACTTCTAACTTCTGCCTTGAGCAAAGCTGTGCTACAGTCACTGCTGCACACACGCATTTGCTCATTCAAGGAACTGCTGCACACAAAGCAGTGTGAATTCACAGCTCTGCAGCCACAACTCCTCTACTGAATATTTATTCAGGTTGTTGAAGATGTCCAGATCACACAGCTAAATGGGACTGAGAGGAAAACTTGGCACACTTGGAAATGACTGCACTGTACTGTCATCAAAACAGGAGACCGTTTCCAGATTTAAAATTAAAAGCTTCCAACTAAGCATAAGTCAAACAATGCCTGCTCATCTTCCAGTGTCCAGGCCCTCCAAGTGCAGAGTCCAACCTCTCTGCTTCTCAGTATTTCAATGTTTACAATGCTTATAACCTACCAAGAACAAGTTGTTGAAACATCCAAGGCCACAATAAAAATGTCTTTACCTCATGAGTGTCAGCCTGATTTCAAAGACTGGTGAATAATCTTCAAATCTGATCAGAAATGAGAAAATCTGAGGAGCAATGAAGTTGGCTGATGTGATCACTATGGAAGGCAAATACTGCACCACGAGATTAACCTGCAAATTCATATTGCTGACATCCTGTACAAAAAGAGATGTAAGAAAGATAACAGTCAGAGAAACACGCCTTTCTGACATCGTGCTCTTTCCAGCTACCCAGCAGCCTCTCTTGTCCAGGATTCAGGCAGCATCTTATACTCTGCCTTCATCCTCCACCTGCATTTGGAACTACAAGTCTGACCACTGCTATCTATCTCTGCAGTTTCCTGCTCCATACCCTTGCTTTCTCCTGCTCCCTTCAAAAGTAACTCCCTCCATCTCCAGGTGTGAGTGTTTTATGCACTTCCCCAAAGCCCCTCTTCGAAGAGGATCACCTCACCAAGGCTTGTGTTTGACTATGTTGTCTAACCCAGCACTAAGGCTTTTACAGCTATGTCAAAGTGCACACATTTTTCAAGTTATTTCACTGGTGTCAAGCAGCTCCCCTGACTTGCCTTCCATCTTAACAAGCTCCCCTGCCTATTAATTTAGGCAAGGTCAAAGTATCAACTCTTATACATAAAGCCCAAAGTAAGTGAAGCTGTTTTTCGAGTTGTTCAGTGTTGTGCTATCCTCTTTCTTTGCCCTTAAACAGTACCTGTAACACAAACACTTCTTCAGTCCCCGTTTCCTGCTTCTCTCTCTGCAATCTTGGCAGTTCACAGAAGTTAAGAGTTAGGTCCACCATGAGCACAACTTTCCCCATACACAGCCAGTGCCCATCACAGAATCACAGAATCTTAGAAGTTGGAAGGGACCTCGTAAGATCATCCAGTCCAAGCCCCCTGCCAGAGCAGGATCACCTAGACTAGGTTGCACAGGAACACGTCCAGGCAGCTTTTGAATGTCTCCAGAAAAGGAGACTCCACAACCTCTCTGGGCAGCCTGGGCCAGTGCTCTGTAACCCTTACAGTAAAAAAGTTTTTCCTCATATTCAGACTGAACCTCCTATGCTCCAGCTTGCACCCATTGCCCCTTGTCCTGTCATTGGCTGTCACTGAGAAGAGCCTGGCTCCTTCTTCCTGACACTGCCCTTTACAGATTTATAAACATGAATGAGGTCACCCCTCAGTCTCCTCTTCTCCAAGCTAAAGAGACCCAGCTCCCTCAGCTGCTCCTCACAAGGGAGATGCTCCACTCCCTCAATCATCTTTGTGGCCCTGCACTGGACTCTTTCAAGCAATTCCCTGTCCTTGAACTGAGAGGCCCAGAACTGAACACAACATTCCAGATGTGGTCTCACCAGGGCAGAGTAGAGGGGAAGGAGAACCTCTCTGACCTACAACCATCCCCCTTCTGATACACCCCAGGATGCCATTGGCCTTCTTGGCCACAAGGGACATGTTGCTGGCCCATGGTCACCCTGCTGTCCACC